CAACCATAACAGCTAAGGCAACTACAATGATTACAAGAACCTGCATCTCCCACAAATTTGTCTAATGACACAATCTGAGTACAATTACAATGTAATTAGAAGGCTGAGACTTAAGGTGTCTTTAAGAAGGCAATTAGGGGTTCAAAAATCCATGATATAGTAAGTAACACAAATAACGTCTGGATACCATGTTTGCTCTGTGTCTTTTTAAACATTTGTTTGGCTCATCAACCATTTTTTTAAAAAATACTGAATCTGTTTGAGATGGCTAAATGTTCAAACTGGCATTTCTTTCACGAGGAAATGTCCTCCACTTGCACCAGGGGAGGTCTAGGTTGGATATTAGGAAAAATTTCTTCATGAAAACGGTTGCCAAGCATTGGAACAGGCTTCCCAGGGAAATGGTTGAGTCACCATCCCTGGAGGTATTTCAAAGACTTGTAGATGTGGCACATGGGACATGATTTAGTGGTGGTCTTGGCAGTGTTAATAGTTGGGCTTGATGATCTTAGAGGTCTTTCCCAACCTAAATGATCCTCTGTATTTCAAAATAAAAGCAAAAATTGTTAAATGCTGAACAAGAATTAGAAGTGCAAGGTTTTTGTGACTATCAGAGTTTAATTCCCACTGAGATAATGTTGCCACATAGAATTACTTTCTCATGTGCCAGATCAATCATATCTAAGTGTCAAAGGGGACTTTGACACAGAAAAAACACCTTCTCTCAGAGATGGCCACAAAACCATATGTCAAACTATCCTGGCCTTCTGATTTGTATTTGCTCAGTGGACTCTCAATTCACCAAAAAAGTGAAAAGGAGACATTACTGCAAGACAACTAATTCTGCAAGTCATGAATAGTATGTGAGTATTTGGTCATTTGTACATTGGCTAATTCCTTTTTAGAGGACTTGAGGGTGTCTGAAGCTTAATCCAATTGTTCCATGTACATCTGCAACTGGTGAAGTGACATTTCCTCCATCTCCTCCTCTTTATTAGAGACTATTTTCAAGCTAAAAGAAAAAAAACGTACTTAGCATGCCATAATTTTCCATACAAATTCCACAGATATGTTACCATTTGCCACCTTCTGTCCCACAGTTCACTGGAATAATGTCTCTTTAAGCCATCCTTTCTATTGTAAATGGGAAGCTAAAGATGGAAAGGGTACGGAACACCAGACAGAAAAAACTCAGGTACAAAGACCATTATGGCTGGCATTTGGATCAACCAGAAGCAGGGCACATATTGTAGAAAGTCATACAGATACTTCAGCTGAATCAATTCTTCCTGTATATGAATTACAGAGATTAGAGATTCTTATGTAGAGCATTCAGGTCTACATATCCCTTCCTGCTAAATGAGAATACAATGCACTGAGTTAAACACTCTTAAATATTTCTCTCAGCTTATCCACTACAGAGAGATGGTAAAATTACTTGTCTTTGGTAACATGTAACTCAGACCATTTTACTTTGTTTAAATACTTTTCTTAATCCTATAATCTCTTTGTAAACTGAGATGTTGATAAACTAATCATTTTTATTCTATTCAGACATATATCTAATCCAAAAATTTCCTCCAAGAAAACAGTGAAGGTTCTTTTCTATGGGCTCTTACATAAATGTATAATAAACCTCAGCTCGACTTATTGCTCCAGCACTCTTCATATATGGTAAGGGAGATGTGCATCTAAGGGTAGAACTCAGTATTACATGAACAGGTAAGAGCTACTGTGAGAATATGTTCTATTTTATAAACACTGCATATATTTGCTTTTGTTTCATTTTTAACAGCTAAAGATGCTATTTTCAGCATCCCTTATCTTATCTTTATTTGATCAGTATCTGTCTTGGAAGTTAGCCTTGAAAATGGATTTAAAAGCAAAGAAATAATGAAAAGCTTTAAAGCCAGCTGAGAGGCAAGGTCACATTCTGAGAAGCACAGTTAAAAGCAGCAAAGCCAGGATCACTGGGACGTGGAGATTTTCACTAAGATACATTAAAAAAATAACAACAGGTAGGTCCAAGAAGGGCTTTGAAGCTGAGGCCCAAGACTCTGTATGAGAGCAAAGAGCAGAAAAGAGGTAAGGGAAGTGAAGAAGTATTTCAGAACAGGATGTGCCAGAGGAAAGCAAGGCTAGGCAGCGAAGGGCAGGTAGCCTGGGGAGCAGGGCTACAGAGACACAGGTTGCTTTGGTGTCATTCATGTGGATCAAGTAAATCATTTCATGTTCTAGTAGAAAGACATGCCATCCCCATACCAATTCAGTGTGAAACAGTCCATTCTTTTCCTACCAGACAGGCTTATTTTATTTCAATATTTTATTTTAAATTAAACATGTTATTTGCCAGTGCAACCTAAATTGAAACAAGTCTTGTTACAGGCAAATTTTTGCTAGTTTAAGTGGAACATTTTAAAATCATGTCTGCAAGAAATCACACTCCAAGTTTATTGCCCTGCCTAGGTCAGACATATCCATGCAGTTGTGGTCCAAAGAGGATATCTCTAGTATGATATAGTACAACTAGAAAAATGTCAGAAGAGAGTAATGAGGAAAGCCAGAGGTATAGACTGGCTCCCAGAGAAGGAACACTGAATATGCCAGGGCTTGGCATCTTAGAAAAGAAATTAAAAGGAATGTGACTGATATCTATAAAATCCATCAGCACAGTAGCAGAGTATGGATCAATTGCTCACTTACTCTTTCAGGAAGGGAAGCAGCAATTGAAGCTGAGAGAAACCATGTTCAAAATGAAAAAGGTTACTTCTTATGCAAGAGCTGTGGGGTAAACTGGAAAGTATCATGAGAAGAAATCCACTGTCTTACTAAACAGGCAGAAAACATAGGCCATCAGCTGCAGATGGCTGGGGAATGGGAGAGTATTAGGAGGCATTCCCACGTATGTCTAGCCTTACCTGCTGGTGGCTGTTCCTCGGGACTGAAGGATATTGGGCTGTAATATTATAAAAGAATAGCCAGCTTGTTCTTATATAATAGTATTCTCCACATTTTACTAGAAATATAACACTGTTTCCTTAAGAAGGGGAGTATAATAATTCTCAAAATATTTTGCAATTCACAATTCAACTTTTATGCGCAGCATTTGGCTGTTGCTAAACAATTTGTGTTGAAAGATTTTCATTTTACTGGATTTTCAGTTTTGAAATATCATCCTAATTGCAGACACAGTTATACCCATACAAATGCTAGAACTGCTGCAATCTTTCCCCGTATTTCTAAAGCATTTAATTACTGTAGAGATAGACATACCCAAGTCCTGACTAATGCTGGCATTTAATATTTTTGTTTATATCAGATGTAAGATGGTGTGTGATTCACTATACAATTAAGATTTTATTTGTAAGTTGATGAAATTTGCTTTTGGATGGTTGTTGTGCTACTGTAACCTGAATAGTCAATCCTTCTGCCTCCAAACTCCTCTTTGCATATTTCCTACATGAAATGTCTTAAAAATCCTGAGGACATCCTGCACCCTCATGAGGCTGTATAGCCTTATTACCTAAAATGTACTGATGCAAATGGAATGAGACAGCATAGCAGACAAACTGCACAGCTCATCACACACTGAATGTAAGTAGTGTAAAGCCTAGTTCCCAGCTTGTCAAAAGCAAACACTTTGTAGAGGGCCTAAAAGTGTGGATGATGCATTTCTTTCTCGTACTCTCCCAGTGTCCAGTAGGCAGGCTAACAGATAAGAAGAGATCACAAAGTCCACAATTATTATCTGAGAAACCCTGTCCCAGTGATTGCAAGCTTTGCAATGGTCTTTAGAGAAAGGAATTTTGTGCATTTTACAGATAAGCTCTGAGTAAGTAGAGCTGTATAGTCCATTGCTCAGTGTTTTATGTAGGAAATCTCTCAAACCTTGTGCATCATCATATAAAGTCTCTGCAGTAGAGGCAAGGATAAAATATGGTTCTACAGGGCAGTATCCTGTGGTCTGCTCAACAGTGCACCTTCCCTTGTCTTCTACCAACCTCCTAAACACCCTCTAACTCTCTCAACAAGAGTCAGCAGGTATCAGATACAGTCTGCCTAACTCCACAATGATGTTTTCCCAGCTTATATCTTGATCTGGTGTCTGAAGCAGGTCTTCACAGGAAAGAAATCTGTGAATAAAGCCCAGTTATCTCTATCACTGTACTCTATCACACCTGGCTGCTTCCCAATGCTTTCCTCCCTCCCCATCCCTGCCTCCAGACTCTCACTCCGACCTTCCCAGCTCACCCTGCCTCCTCCCAGGTTCCTTTGTTCACCAGGCTTTGGTTTCATTTTGACTAGTCTGTCTGCCCTGTCCCCATTCTCTCATCATTTTAAGCCCTCCTGTTACTTCTTCGCTAAGCGGGTGGTGAGGCACTAGAACAAGTTGCCCAGAGAAGTTATGGATGCCCCATCCCTGCAAGTGTTGAAGGCCAGGCCAGATGGGGCTTTGAGCAATCTAGTCTAGAGGAAAGTGTCCCTGCCCCCAGCAGGAGGATTGGAACCAAGTGATTTTAAGCTCCCTTACAAACGTTCCGGGATTCTATGATTCTGCTCTGGCCACTACTCCAATATGCCTTGTTCAGGCTTTCCACTTCTGTCTCCCACTCCTGGTTTTACCAGACTTTGGCTGCAGCATCCTTTGTTGCAGGTTTTTGTGGCGATGCCCTTTCCTCCCCTCCTCTGAACCCCAACAACACGCAAATACTCCTCGCGGGGCGTCACTGAGAGCACAAGAAGCCGCATAACCGCGGCTGCCCTCCACCCCCACCTACAGCTCTCCAAAGCCCAGCCACCCCGCAGCGGAGCAGCCTGGGGCGCCGACAGGCGGAGCGGGACACCCAGTTCGGGTGAAGCAGCTGCTCCTGGAGCAAAGACCGCCCCCCGCTCAGCCGGCGGGGCTCGGGCCGCCCTCCGGCCGCGGCGGGGCGGGCTCGGGCGGGCTCGGGGTGGCTCGGCCCCGCCGCTGCCTTCCGCCGGAACTGCCGGCAGGGCTGTGCGCGGCGTGGGTCTGCCCGCGGCGTGGGTCTGTCCGCAGGGATGGTGCAGGACCCGGGCGGGATGCTGGTGGCGGAGCTGGTGCTGCGGGCGGGGGCGGCTCGCAGCATCCTCTGCCTCTGCTCCCGCGCCTTCGTCGAGTGAGTAGCGCCGGGCGGGGGGAGGTTCCCGCCGGGGAGGTGCGGGAAGGGCCGCGCTGCTGCGGCCGTGGGGAGGGGAAGGGGGTGCGCACAAAAGGACCCCGATAGGTGATGTTTACCACAGGGTACCAGCTGGGGGTGAGCAGAAAAGGGCGAGGAGAGCCCCCCAAACGCCGGCTGCCGTGGGGGCCCTTGCCGGAGCGGCCCCGCCGGCCGCATCCCGCTCCCCCCTGGAGCCGGGTCTGGGCGTCCCCTTCTCCCCTTCCCAAACGGGCGCCGGGGTAACATCATCCTGATGTCATCCTGAAAGGATCCCGAGCTCATCCTCCTCATCCTGAAAAGTGGAGCCGGTTTCTCAACGAGGGAAGGAGAGCCTAAAGTTTAATTCCGAGGTGTTATGTGTAGCTGCGACGTTTTCTGGGCGTCTCTCTTATGGGCTTTCCCGTCAGGCTTTAATTAAAGTGTTGCTTTTTCCGGATTGTTCTTTTTATTTGCTTTGCGTGTTTAGAGTCACAGGGCAGCCCGTGTGGGAAGGGAACTGGAAAGGTCTCCTGGTGCAGCCTTTCATGGGAATGCAAGCCTAGATGAGTTTATTAAGTACCCCGTCCAGTCACATCTTGAAACCTCCAGTGATGGGGACTTTACCAGACCCCTGGGGACGTTTTTTCCATTGCGTGATTGTTTTTACTGTAAAAAAACCGTTGTTTCAGTGATGACTTCCTGCATCAATGTCTGTCTTCATTTTTACAGAGATCGAAAATTATATAAACTGGGATTAAAAGGATTTTATGTCAAAGATGACAATGACAGTACAGGTAACATAATGAAATGTACTATGCAGTGTGATGTGCAGTCATACTTAAAGTGAGTTTTGTGTGGTTATTTAAATTGTGAATAATAGCTTAGCACTTACATAGCTTTCAGGTTACCATAATCTTGATGTGGAAGTTTGTGTCAAACCAGGTGTGATATTTATTCCTGTCCAGATAGACTTTACCACCTCACATAATTTTCCCCTGGTGCATGGAACAGATTACCTCACAGGTCTCTGACCTGTTCTCAGATCATAATTTCAGCTAACTCAAAAATAATCTGTAGATCCTAGGTGTTTGCCTGGGAGCAGTTTTGTCTTGCTGCCTCTGTGCCAGCCTAGGACATTAGCTGTTGCTGATTAGTCTGCTGGGCCAGAAGTAGAGAAAAAACAGTAGCAGCAATGGGGGAAATTATGATTTGCATATATACAAAGGATCGTATGAGGAGGACCAGAAGAGTAAGTCTCTCCCTTGGCATGCTTATTTTGAGGAATTCTCATGGTGTATACTCTGAGAAATTCAACACCACTCCCTCATTCCATCCTCCTGAATTCCTCACGTATGCCTACATGAACCGTAATTCTTTTGGTATCTGTTTTTTCTGTTGCTATGTTGGTAGATCCAGCAGCATATTAGCTTGATTTGAAAGGAAGTTGGAACAGAAATAAAAGCTGATAGTTAATAGCACAGATTAGGTGGAGGCAGTATGAGAGGAGTGAAGAAGGAGAATGTAAACCATGTTTTTGTGCATATATATGAGTGAATTATGGTGAGAGTAATCAGCTAAAAACAGAAAGGTCTTGTGTTATATGATAATTCAGCAGTAAATATATCCTGAACAATAAAACCAAAAATGTTTCAGTATTATCAACTGTGTCAAGAGCTTTTGATTTCATAATTTCCATCAATATGCAGTTCCTGCTTCCTCAATAGTATTTATGACTTTGTATACATATGATATTGCTTAACAATTTGATAATGTGCAAGCAGTTGATCAGGTACATCTAAGATAATTTGGTTCTGTAGTTCACACATTTTTGTAAAATCATGTTATCTCTGTCAGTGTGGTTTTGAAAGATTTGTAACAAAACCAAAAATTTCTTGTATTTTAAGTTTGCTGTGACATATACCACAAGAACTCCAGTAAAGAATTTTTGTTTCATAATCCTAGTTTTTCTGTTGTTTTCAGGGCATTATTGCATTTTGCTCTGCAAGTTATTGAGGTGAATGTTCGTGGGGGGTTGACCTCAAGCACCTTCACCCTCTACCCCAGTTCTTACCGCTGCACATCACATTATGTGGTGTGGACCATCCCTTCATACAGTTTCCATCTGCAGTCCCAGCTGTGTTCCCTCCCAGTCTCTTGCCCATCCTAGCCTACTCCCTAGCGAGGGCAGAGTGGGGAAAAGAGAAAGCTATGAGACTGTGCAAGCACTGCTCAGCAATAGCCAAAACATTGATGTGCTATCCACACTGTTTTACCCACAAATTCCAAACACAGCACTAGAGGCTTCTATGAAGAAAGTTAACTCCATTCCAGACAAACCAAGAGCAATGTTTTTGTTATCAAAGTTACATTTTGATTCCTACTGATAGTTATGCAGAAATTGAGGTATTTATGAGGAAGATTTTAAATGGGAAAGGAAGCATAAGAGGCAGTTTTGCTGTTTTTTGTGTGCCACAGTGTGGCACTGAGGTATCAGTACCAGATTATATTCACAGGTAATATAACTGTTAGCAGGGGAAGAAGAAGCGTCTGAGGAGGAGAACCATTGTCCCAATGTGAGATTTAAGGTGGATACTAATCATGCGCTGGACCCAGAAGAAGTTGAACTAGACTCAGAAGCTGAGCTTATGAAGAGCATGGGGTTGCCTGTTCAGTTTGGTGGGCAGTCAGCCCAGAGAGACTTTGTGGTAAATCTTTGCTTTCTTTATTTGTTCTGTTTGCATTGTGTTTCCAGATGTAAGGATGGCAGTTAATGGAAATGTATTGGAGTTGCCTTTAAGCTGCCTGCCTCGCCTCCTTGTAACAGCACACAGCACGTTGGTCTGTCCAGTTTGCAAAATCCACCTGCCAGTTTGACTAAGCAGGGTTAAGGCTGTGCTTTATGCTTCCATATCTGTATTGCTCGAGTGACTAGAGAGACCTGATTTAAAACAGCAGTGGTAATGCTGGTGCTGATGTATCAGGAAACTGGAACACTCCAGTCTGAGCATGCATTTCACACTGTCTTTAACTGTTTAGCTTTTGATACTAACATAAAAAACTAATTTTCAAATCCCCCTTGCAGCTGATAAAGCCAAGCTGTTCCAAAGGACGGGACTGAGGCTTTGGTGCTCTGCTTCTCAGAGAGAACATTTGAGCTTTAGAAGGAGGCTGAAGTTTTCACAGATGAGAAAAAGACTGTGGGACATTCAGTGTCCGTTTTATGGAGTACAGACCTCCCTGGCAGTGAGAGAGCACTTTTGTGCAGAGCACTGCATGGTTCTGACTTGATTAATTTGTAAATAAATAGGAGAAACTTGTATGTGATTTAAATTGATGGCATGTAAATAGACAATACAGGCATCCAACTTTGAACCCAAGGTATATGTGCAATTTTTGTTACTATGTAGTAATACAGCAAATAAGTTGAATGGGAAAATAAAATTATTTTTTTACTTGATTACTGCTAAGCAGTAATGGGTGTTTTAACATGACACTGTAAGGGATGCAGATGAGAGATTCTCTGATTCTAATGTCCTTATATAATGTCCTTATGCTTTTGTGAATGCAACAAAACTAGGGATTGCAGGTGATGGGACGTTTGGAGTAATATCTGTACATTTTCAATCTTTTGCCTGTGTGAATTCTTTAATCATAGGAAGCATCTCCGAAACAAGTGGAGTTGTATTTGATGAAACCACCAAGTTACCTTAGTGTTCCTTTCTGTAACAGGTTTCTGTTCCATTTAACAAGTGTTGTAGCCCAGTTTGTTGTAATAAGTGAAATGGTTGTGTTGCACAAATGAAAGGGCCACCTGTTAAGAGGAGGCTGTTTTTCCCTTGTACTTCTGTTTGGATCAGTGTCTTCAAACATATCAGAGATTCTGCTGTGGGCTTTACAGAGCTTATGAGTATAAAGTGATGCTTTTTTTGTGTACAGCACCCAAAGATAGCAAGGATTTAACATTCTGAGAGGCTGAGCATTATATGTTTGCTATCCTAATAAGACACTGAACAGTGTTTGCGAGTCAGGCAGCTACGGGGTGAAAGTAAGGGTCAGCTTCCACAGCCCCCTAAAACAGGTCCTTGATGTTACTGAGATGCTGTTGAGCTCAAACCGGTGACCCCTCAATTCCTGACCAACTTCCCTTTAGGATTTTATAGTGTTTCGTGTTGACGTCTTTCTTTCTGAATCCTTGAGCTGCTAATGACTTTGCTCTCAGCAGCCCTGCTTCTGTCTGTAATTCTGCCTTTTTTTTGTGCGTGTCTTTCTACAGACTTTCTTACAGCTCTTTCTCACAACTTCCTCAGAAGTGTCAGACAAGGTTATACAGCAGGGCCATTTCAGACCCTAAAACTCTGCTGCCTTTTTGGGGAGATATCTAATAACAGTAGGGTTGCACTGAGAGGGATGGTTACAATCGAAGGAGAAATGTGCTCGGAGAGAGGATGAGGCTGTATATACATTGTGGACTTCTAAGAGTGTTTTTCCATTTTATTTTAGGCAACAGAAAATTATAAAAAGAGAAATAATGTGAAATTTATGAAAAAGAAAAAGAAGAAGAAAAAAGAGTTACAGCAAAAACATGAGGATAAAAGGGGACAGGAATGCCAGGATGAAGGTTGTGGTGGTAGTATCCAGGCCATTTCTAGTGAGCTGGCCCTAGCTACAGAGCAATGTGAGATGAGCAGTAAATCTCAGATTGTAGCTGAAGAGAACTGTGAAAGTTCAGAAAGCCTTGCAAATGAGGCTTTATCCAGTGAACTTCAGGAAAAATGGGAGAAGTACTGGAGCGAGTATGGAGAGGGCCTTCTTTGGCAAAGTTGGTTGCAGAAGCATCAAGAGGTCTCATCATCTGAAGCCATCACAGCCTCTGAGCCTTGGAATAGTCTGGACACCAAGGGAGAATGGGAGCAGCATTATAATGAACTGTACTGGTATTATTGGGAACAGTTTCAGTACTGGACAAGTCAAGGATGGACTATTGAGAGCTCACATGGGGACAAGGTGGAAGTTAATGGGGTTACGCAGGAGACTGGTCCTTTGGGAGAAATGAACTTGGTTAGCCAAGGGCCTGAATGCAGTGAAGTGCTGAGCTTGGAGCTGTCTCCCTCTAACACCAGAAGTGATGAAACACTCCCTTCAAGTGCTGAGCTGCACAGTGAAATCATCTCTGGAATTTGTAATTTAAATCTGAATTTAAAGGAAGTGGAGCAGAGCAGCGCAGCTCTAACAGTAGCCCACCAAGGTCATCAAGAGCACAGTTTGTCTGACAGTGGAAGTCAGAAGGAGCCCTGTGATGGAGGAACCAGGAAAAGGAGCGCATCTTGTGAAAATAAAAGTGTTAACCAGTCAGGTAATACAAAATAAGCTAAAATTGATTCTATCAGAATTTTTCTCTAGGTGGTTATATATCAGAAACAAGGGCACATCTGTATTATGCCATTTTAAAAAAGTCGATCAAGCATGTTGTGGAATGATTGTATACTTGATTCCTTTTTCTACCTCTGCTTTTCTGGATGATTTCTCTCATCTCTAACCTGTATATTGAATGTGTTCTTCAACCAGAAGTGATTTTAACAGAACACGTACTTCATAAATCTTCAAATGTACTACAGAAAGTGGTGAGAGAGCACTGTTAGTGCACATTTATTTATCTTGGTATTGCAGCTGTGTCATGCAGCTGATATGTCTCTTCTTACTGATAGTCTAAAATGACTGAAAACTCAGGCTGATGTTCTTATGAATCTGACACATTTTAAGAACAACTTGCTGAGAAAAAAAAATAGTTCTGCAGTTCCGGGGTTGGTGTTTGTTTTGTTTTTTTGCCTTCTATCTAAAAATGCCATACTTGAAAATAGACTTTTCTTTTCTTGTTCTTTGTTACTGTGGACAGATGTCTTCCAGAGGTCCTTTCCAGAATGGAGTTGTCAATTAAGCAATGAGCTGCAGTCATCTTTAAACCCTAAATTCATATATTCATAACTAGTGCTAACATGTGAAAGTGCCAGGTAGTAGTGTAGTACTGTGGTGAAAGCCAGTGGCTGTTCTTTACACTACTTCTGTGAGGGATGTAAAAGATGGGGCTCCACATCTTTTTTGCCAGTTAGTTCAGCATGCAGAGAGAGAACCATCTCGTTTGCTTGCCAGTTCTTGCCAGCGTTCATTGTAAACAGCAGTGTCACATCTTTCCTGACTATCAGATGTTTCCTTCTGTGAAGAGGGGGATAAAACACGAATTATCAGCAGCTCGGGACTTCAATTTGGTGGGAAACCTCTGAGTCTGCTGCTAGTGACTTTCTAAGGGACGAAGAAGCAGGTGTGGTCCCACCTTAATCCTACAGTAGAGTTGGAATGGGAAAGATGAAAGGAAAATCTCCTTTCCAACAAGAAATGAGAGGAGTGTTTAAATCTTCTGCAATCACCTTTGCCTAGCTAATGGGATGGAAACCAAATTTTACATAAAGGAAGAAACTATTTCAAATTTTTTACCTTGTAGGCGTTATATTTTTCTTGCAGAGCTGACATAATTTCAAGTTGGTCCTATGCAAGGTTTTTAACTCTACAGTGTAACTAATACCAGAAGCTTTTTTGGTATGTTGTCCCTCAGACAAAGACAGGTAAAGATATGTGTGTTTAGCACTTGTGCCTTATTTGTCAGATTCAGGTATGTAGGACAGCCTAACTGTAGCTGCAGACGTACTACGGGGACGGGAAGATAAGGAATTGATTTATGCAGAAGGAAATATGATATATCTTTTTTTAGGTTCACAGGAGTCATGTAGCCTGAATTCAAATGAAAAAGAGCAGTTGCTGCTTCATGACCAAGATGAAGATGAGGACGAAGAGCCTCCTGAATACAGACATGTCAAAGTCAAGAGAAGGCAAGTCATGAAATTTAGATGAGCTTTTTTTTCTCCAGAAGCCCAGGTCCAGAAGCCTCCTGAATTTATAGTAACTATATCTTTGATTGAGGATGTGAGTTAAAACGTCAGTACAAAATGGCATAGTCTTCCATCACTCCTTTATCACTTTGCCTCGCAACAAGCAGTGGATGTTTCTTCTGTTGCTTTATGAAAACAGTGTATCGCCTCAATGACTGTGCAAGGTGACAGTACTATTCTTGTGTCACTGAAGGATACAAGATTGTTAAAATACACAGGAGAACTTGCTAGGTCTAATTAGTGTAGACAATACAAGAACAATAGTAAATAATTTGTATTTTTTAACTGAATTTTATGCTGCCTGTAAAATGTTCAGAGCTATAGCAGTCATAAAATAGCTAATCTCTGTCTTGTCACTGTCTTTTTTTTTCTTCTCTAAAAATCTATAGCCTCAAAGATGATGAGATGGCTCTTCCTCTGTAATAAATTTGCAAACTCAAAGGTGGAGGAATGGATGGAATTGTTAGCTGCTAATCATGTAGCTCTGGTTTTGTTCTAGTACTTTCCAGTTGCCATGGCACTAATAATAGTTAATAATATAGTTAACGTAATAGATGATGAAGGCAATTTGGAAATGGAGTGAACAAATGCTATCTTCATCAGTTCCATGTAGGTCTTAATATTAAATATTTTAAGAGGTCATTCAGAATAGTTGGGATATTATAATCCCAAAAAAAGCACATATGAGCCTAGAATTGGGTAAAAAAAACCCAAAAACTCATGCACATAAATATACTAGTGTTGTCTGCTTTGTTTGGTTTCAGCAGTGTGTGGAGGAGCTTACTGAAGCCCACATTTAAATGTTTTCAATACATGAGATTTTTAGTATATCTGCAAAGTAAAAGTGGGTTTTTTTACAGTAAGTAACTTTGTCATCCGTGTTTTTTCCTAGTCATGAACTGGATGTGGATGAGAACCCAGTGGAAGATCCTGAAGAAACCTGCTCTGTGTTGGGTTTCAAGTGTGGAACAGGACAAAAGTAATTACTTACTTATGAGGAACTCAAGGTTTCTTCATAGCAAGTCAGCTCTCTTGTTATTATTGAAATAGACCATCCATTTCCCTTTTGTTAAACTTTTGAAGATAATTCCCAAAGTTCATCTCTGCTCTAAATAAAACTGTCATCCTTTGGCTAGAGAGAGAGAGATGCAAACTTACAGAGACTAGTTAAAGTGCTTTGAAGCAGAAGTGTAACTCGTACTTTCAGTCATGTAAATGTTAAATGGCTGGTCAGCTACTTAAATTAGAACTTAAAGGCTCTGACAATGAATGGTCCTCTCAATTTGGAGTCCTGTGAGCTTAGATAATAATTCATATCTGTTGTATATTAGAATAAGGTTGCTTTATACTAGTAAAATGTTGCTGTATTAATAAAGTGTTGCCAGGGTGTTGACCAGAGAAATTTCATTTTTGGTGGTATGACCTAAAATTACACTGGTCAGTGCTGTAGGAGGAACATCATAGGGCACAGGTCTTAGCAATTCTGCAAAATGCAGTTGTTTATTACATACCTGTTTCAAAGAGAAGCATGTTTTGCAGTTGACAACTTCTGTTCTACTTTATAGAAATTATTTAAGTCAACACTCCATATTTCCTTTTTGGGGGGAAGTTGGGTTTTTTTGGTAGATTATTTTCTTATTGCATTTGCCAGAAGACAAAAGTAGCTGTTTTGGAAGTTCTCTACAGCCACCGAAAAGATCTTTTATTCTGCTAATCAAGATCTTTTTTTATTTCCCATTCTTCAGACTGGTCTGGGAAATTGCTTCTATCTGGAGTTATAAACGTATTCAAAAAAATTAAAAATCTAAACTCAATTTCGTTAAATGTTTTTCAAATAAAAATATTTTAAAGTGTTCTTGAAGGTACATTGTTTTGCAGCTGCATCCATGACATATATTTTAAGTGGAGCAAATGTCTTATAAAGAAATAATTTAGTCTAAATTGTCTTTTTGTAGACATCAACATTCATGTTAAAGCTTCCAGACTGGAAATTACCCAACTAAATACTTGTCTATCTGTCTATTTATTTACTTTCAGGTATGGTGGAATTCCAGATTTCACCCACAGAAGTGTGCAGTACTTGGAGAAAAAAGCAAAACTCAAGTCCAAATACTTGGACATGCGTAAACCAAGGAAGAGCAAAAACACACACATCTTCTTTACAGAGGAATCTGAAATGACATGCAAAAAAAGCAAAACTTTGAAGAAGGTAGTTTTAATTGTTAGCACTGTTGTAGTTCATATACTTATCTGCTCCTTAGCTCTTCTTGAATTATGAAAATGAAAAACAAATTAATTGCCCACAGTAGATGGCATTTTTAAGTGTTAGTCCACTGCTCTTCTTTTTTTTTTTTTCTTTTTTTCTCCTCCTCCCTGCTCATCACCTATATGAAGAGTATTTAGATCAGGGTGGTTATAGAAAGGCTTTGGTGGACCCTGGGGGCAATCTGTCAAGAGGAACGTGAGCTTAAATGGCCAAGTTATGTGAAAGTAATTCCTAAAATATGGGTGCATCGTACCTTTAGAGGTGTGTGTGGGTTTCTGTAGTTACTAAAAGTATCTCTGGTTTTAAAATACATGTGAGGCCAGTTGTTAGTGCTGGCATTTCAGCAGTGACAGAAAATGTTTATGTAGATTAGTGTATTTCATGTTCTTAGTAATTTGTATCAACAGTTTTGCTTATACCTCTACCTGCATTTATTTTCATCTCTAACTTTATGCTTTTTTAAAACAAAACTCAGAAATTAATAACAAGTAGAAACACTTGTTCACTGTACATTTTACTTAATTGAATCTCTTTGAAAATCTGAGGGAACAGATTTTAATGTTACTTTGCCTTCTTCTGGGATGCTTGGCATTCCCTGACACCCAAGTGTAAAACACTGTTACCTGGTGGTGGCAACGCATGTTGTACTGAACTCCAGTCCCATTGCTATAATTTTTGATTAATTTTTGGTCTTGTACCTGGGGCCAGTATAGTTCAAGGGCAGCTTTAATTATGTGAAGAGAAAAAAAGTGAAAAATTCCTCAGACTTTCAAGTAAGAAACTGCTCCGGGTCGAGAGCCACTCAGAGCAACTCTAATGTAAAAGGGAGCATCTGTGTGTGCCTTTGAATTTGGAGTAGCATCTGCACATTGGTTAGGAGGTAATGTCGAGCTCTCTGCTGTGCAGCAGAACCCTTTACCACATGCACCATTCGTTACATCTTGGAGATGAGGCAACTAATGTACGAAGGTAATTTTACCTGTTTATGCCCTGAGAGGCAGAGTACATCTCTGAATGCAGATTGGAGAAAGATAGTCAATTAAAAAGCAGTAGACTTGGTCGCCTGTGCTGTAGCAAGTCTAACTATTTCTGTTTCAGAAAAAAAAGGGGGCATGTTTAAGGACTTCTTGAATGTTTTGACTCTGGATATTTTACTGTTTCCACAATACACATGGTAGAGAATGCCTGCAATGGCAGGTGCTCTTGAACTGTGAGACTTTTAAACTGTGCTCTAGGTAACTGCTCTAGGTACCATCTGATTATCTGTGATATTTGACAATTGCAGGTGGAAATGTTCCTGAAGCGGGTTAGTAAACCCGAGGAGGAAGCTACATCCCAGACAGCCGTCCCTCAGAGTAAATCGGAGGCATTGTCTGAGAGCAGCAGCGACTCAGAGGGTCAGGAAGGCCTTACTGCCACACAGACTGTGATGCTGAATGCTGAAAACCAAAAGCCACCATCTTCCAGTGCAGCCTGCACAGAACCTGTAGGGAGCAACCTTGAGGAGGAGGCACAGGAAGCTGCAGAGAGTGGCTCCAATGAGCAGGGTGCAGCGGGGCCAGAGCGTGGTGGTGGGCGGCAGCTTGTCTCTCTGGATATTCCCGATTACCTCCAGGCAAACACAGAGGACGTCAGCCAAGGTACATCAGTTTCCTACAAACTGGTGAAATGAATTGGCAGTGGACTTAAAGCTGCCTTCCCAAGTTAGTGTTGTGCATCACTTATTTATTTTGTTTATTTGAAGAGACTCATTAGGTCCAAGGGGCAATGAGCATGATTGAGAGCCGTGCTAGTCAAAGTAGCTTATTCCTGGAGTGCCAGAATCCCAGGTCTTGTCTATAAAATTTGACATTAAAGATAAATGGTAATTTTTGATGTTCAACATGGTCTAGCAGGTTTCTAATTCATGTCTTGTTCCCCTCTGCAAGGATGAGGGTGATTGACTTCGGGTCAATCACAGACCATCAAGTTTTGGGTTCTCAAATGCACAATGCTGAGCTTCATGGAGCATGTGTTGTTAAAATTATTTTCCAGAGGGAAAAAAATCAATATTTTTAACTTTTCTATTTAACACTAAACAAAGGAAAAGGGGATTTTTCAGGTTTTTATACATAGGTAATCCTTCCTACAGTAATTCAATTATGTTAGATTCCTACTGTAAAACTCTTGTCTAGATTGGTTCTTATTCTTTACTGATATAAGGGCATTAAATTGGTCTCTGATCAACTTGTTTGCTCGCTACATAGAGTTTATTGCCATCAGTTGAAGATTAAGGCTCTTATATGATGGGTGAATTCTTATGATTTTTAGGACTGTGACTGATCCCTTGAAATACAGGATGCTCTTTTTTAACTTAAAACCACTAATCTGCATAATCTGGTGAACAGTAATAAAGGACATTTAGCAGTATTTTTAAACAGGAGCATCTTATATCTTAACTCTCCCCTACCTACCGGTTACATTCCTCACCTACAAGAACAGTAACTGTTAACTTTTGCAGTGTCTTCCAGCTGTAGATGAAAAAATAACCACAAAGAAGAAGGAGAAGAAAAGAAGAAGGAATAAAATTGCACTGAGATCTATACCTGCTGAGATTGCTGCTGATCCAGAGCTGGTCAAGTACTGGGCACAACGCTACCGGCTGTTCTCTCGGTTTGACGAGGGAATTAAACTGGACAGAGGTGTGTTTAGTACCAAGTGTGCTGACTTTGTGGTATGACATATATCCAAACCAATGGCCCTTCTTGCAGTATATTACTGATTTTCTTAAAGGAGGAACATTATTGAATGTGTGTTTGCACCTCTGGATAAATTCCACACCCCCCAGCAGGCAGGTGAACAGAAGTCTTGGACTTCAGAAGTGCTTCTGGTGTGGGACACCTCTATCTGCATTAGTCCTGATGTTTGCTGAGGATCATACTGGACCCAAATTATACTTGATCACGACTTTTTCAGAAACTCAATAACATTTTTCTATTTCTATATTTTATAAAATAGTTTTGTGAAGCTTCCAAATATGCTGATGGATCCAGTTTTGTTATTTTGTTCCGACTTTCAGCAGTCACTTTCAAAATTACTTTTTTCCATTTTTTACATAGAAACCACTTGAAATCATAAATTTATAGGTAAAAGAGGAATTAGGATTAACGTTCTTTTTGTTTCTTGAGTTTGTAAGCCTTTCATTTCTAATGCTCTCCCTCATAAACATGCAGATTATTTGGCAGACCAGGCATTGTGGTGAAGAAAATAACGTCAGATAAGAGAGAATATTTCTGGTTTTGTTTGCTACAGAGCATAATCCTGATGCATAAAGGTTTTCAGAGCTGTGTCTGTGGACTTGTCCTTGATAGGCCAGAATCCTCAGCACCAAGTTCAACAAAGCACTTACTGAGATCAAGGCATATCTCTTTGCTTCAGTGAGGCTTTGTTTGCTTAGCAAATCTCTGGACTGACCGGAGTTTATCATCTTCAAAGCCTGTATTTCCTGGTCGAATGCACTAAGCCAAAATTGTTGGGATTAATGCTAAACCTTCAGTTGTGTGTGGGGGTTGGTTGGTTGTTTTTAAATTAGGTGACCTTGAAATAAGAGGCAAAAATACATTTCTTCCCTTTCTTTTGCAGAGGGTTGGTTTTCTGTTACTCCTGAGAAAATAGCTGAGCATATTGCAGTCCGTGTTAGTCAGTCATTCAACTGCGATATCATAGTGGATGCGTTCTGTGGGGTTGGAGGAAACGCTATTCAGTTTGCATTGACCTCAAAAAGAGGTAAGTAGGTGTTGTATATAGCATTATTTTGTTTCTCCAGTCTTTTTCCCTAAAAAATTTGGGTACGTGCTTTGTTGGCAGATTTTTTTTTCAGCGCTTCTGTAGCAACAACAACTTTTTTGCTTCATATGACTCACAATATGACCTTTCTGTTTTCAAAAAGGGCCTATAAAACTGCTTTTTGATTTTAAGTCAGAGTTGGATTTGTGTTTTACTAGTCAACGTTATTTTTATGTGGCATAGTATCTAATCTGTTGGATATTTTGAAGATTGCTGGCAAAAGTGGACTTCTCTCAAAGCTGCTACTTTTCCCAATTGTTACCCCAAGTCTGTGTACTCAAAAGCAGGTTATGTGTGAATAGTACTTAAAACAGTTGAATGGAATCACCTGCAGGTGCAGTAGAACCAAATACAGAAAAGTGCTGATAACTTAGTATTAAGCTAATGCCAACTAATGGAATTGTAGTGAAACATTGAGAGTACTTTCTGTAAAAACATTTCCTACTTGATATTCGTCTGCTCATCAAACACTCTGGTAAATTACAAGTTCATCTAACTCTTCTGAGCAAGACAAGTGGTAGTTTCTACTGCATTAAATTTGGTAGGTAGTAATCCATTCTATAAGTATTTTCTAAATTTTACTTAGCTTTTTGTTTTTCCTGGCTAAATTTTTATATTTATTATTATGCCCTTTTATCACCTCCTTTGTGCTGTGTTAGGTGTGGGTTTTTTAAACTCAATTTTCAGTGTGATCACCCACAGATAAATGTTTCTTTTTAACAAAGGAGAAGAGTAAGTTTCTAATTGACACCATTTAAGTTGTCAGGCTCCTGCCAAAATTGAAGCAAGGAGGACTTCCTCTCTTAGGTGGAGAGCCTTACCCACTATTGAGCCGAGATGTGGGGTTGTCACAGCAGCAGATGTTTGAGTGCCAAAAGCTAAAGCTTCCCAGATTTGCAACAGCAGCTGAGCCTTCTCAGTCTTGGCTACGTGGCTTCCCTTGCTGGTTTGTAAATGCAGCTCTTGGCAGGTCCTTCCTCTCTGAGGTGCTGTAGCTTCATGTCTGCCACAACCTATAAAAGTCAAGTAGCCGCTCACCTCACAGCAGTAGATTATAGATGTGACCTGTGTCTGATTGCTACAGAAGGACACCTTCCTTCTGAAACGTCCTGACCGTGGTTGGGTGGCACTGGCTGTGTGGGTTGGGTGGCACAGTCCACGGTGACCCGCATGTTTGCTCTCTCTCTCCCTTGCAGTGATCGCTATCGACATCGATCCCGAGAAGCTCAGCCTGGCGCGCAACAACGCAGAGGTGTACGGTGTGGCGGATCAGATCGAGTTCGTGTGCGGGGACTTCATGGTGCTGGCTGCCGGCCTGCAGGCAGATGTGGTGTTCCTCAGCCCACCCTGGGGGGGACCTGATTATGCCACTGCCGAAATCTTCGATATCCAGACCATGATTTGCCCAGATGGATATCCTTTCCAAGTTATGCACTGTCGTGATTGTCAGTCATTTACAGGTGGTTTTCTCTTTTTCTTCTCGTCCCTCTCTTGACATGGGGTTTGCACATCCAGTTGCCTGGATGATATGGTCAGCAGCTGAACTCCCAGAAGTGCCACATTTCTTTAATTCTCTTCCCCCAGCCACAGCTATGTGGCTTTGACCACCTAAATTTAAATATTTTTATTAAAAAAATAATAGTTATGAGTTATTCTTAAAAGTAAAAAATCCATTAGAGGATTGAGTAGTTTCTTAATTTAAAGCATTAATTCAGCAGTTTTAACTCCTTTATATAATTTTATTAAAATACCCTGAAGTAATCAAATAGCCATGTGGTATATATATATATATAGATAATAATTAGTTATGTGAGCTATGATTTTGTCATTAATTCCACTTTTTGACTGATTTATAAAGGGAATATCTTATTTAAAATATCTTACTAAAACTGTTCTCAATCATAGCACCAGCCTCTGACTTGGGAAATCACAGAAGAGTGCAAGCAAAATATTAACCCTTTTAATTAATGTATAAAGTTCCATGTTAACTTATTAACAGTGCTATTGAACATTCATCTGGGAAGGTATTAGCATAATAGTTTCATCAAATATGAAGTATGGGGAGTCTTTTGTCCGAGAATAATCTCATTTGTTTCCTGTTTTGCTAAAATGTAGCTATGTTTATAAGCGTAAGAAAGTCTTTGTATTCATGTATGAGAGATGCCACAAAATGGATTAGAAAACAAATGTAAATCAAATGTATTACCTACAAAAAACATTGAGATTTCTCAAATACTTCTCTGTAGTTCAGTTAAATTTTCTTAAAGTGAGTGTTGGGGCCTTTTTTCTGCTTTCCAGGGCCCTAGTGGTAAAATAGAATTTCTGCATTTAGACAATAGGAATTTCTGCATTTCAGAAGAGATTCCTACTCACCCACTCAGAAGACTAACTATAATTTAATTGCATAATGACTGAATTTGAGTCCTACTTTAAAAATTAATGAATATAAAGCAATTTTTTCTTCCTCATTCTTGTTTTTTTCCTTTACTGGCTTCTACATTTGAAATTTTCAGGCTCTCCAAGAAGATCACCAACAACATTGTGTATTTTCTACCTCGGAATGCTGATCTTGATCAGGTATGTTACTGCATAAGGGCTTGGTAATCAACAAAATGCTCAGCTGGCATAAAACATAGGTATTATAAGCACAAATGTAAGACTTTTCAACTGAATGTGGAGAGTTAGGGTTTTTTAACTTTGACCCTCATGTTAAATGATTTCTGTGTTAGCAGTACTTTTGATATGTTTAGAAATGGGAGTAGCAGATTATTTCCATGATTTTGGCACTGTCCCATCCTAAAGCAACACATGGGAGGTTCATACAAAAGATCCAAAGTCAGTAGCCAGACAGATACATAATTATAAAAGAAAAAAGATACATTTTTAAAAGATACATTTTAAAAATATACATTTTAGCTCTTACTATCTGATAAGTTGCTGAGTCCCAGCCTTTGATGTCTTTCAGTTTATGAAGGAGTTGCAGGAAATTACTGTGTATCCTGCAGTCACTGCTATCACTGATGAGTAGATCAGACACAAATGCTGTGCCACCAGAGGTGGTACTGATGCTGTCTACACAGGTGTGTGGTTCCATATGGGCTGCTTGCATTGCAGTGATTCGTGATAAACACACCATTTGTTGCACTGGCGCAGGGGAGTTTGTATTAGAGATTTTTGTTAGAATTTTTTTTTAAGCAGTTAGGTGACTAACAATTCCCCTGAGTGTCTGGTTTAGTTTCCTCTGTGTATTTTCTGTGCTAATTAGGTCTTGTAGCTTTTTGCAAAGAAGGGATCGGTGAGATGATCTCCTCGCCTGCAACGTGCCACAGAACTTCCCAGCATTATTTCTTGCTTTTCCAAGAGCTCTGTCTGACTTAGAGCAAGCAAGGTGTCAGGCCGTATGGTGGCTTGCGGAATCGTTGGTGGCAAACAGCTGGCTTGAGAAACAGGCTGAAGTTCACATGGCTTGAGTATTAGCACACTCTGATCCCACGCTATGAACAGCACCATTGGTATGGCAGGTGATGATGATTCATTTCCTTTTTGCACTTTAGGCAGGTGAAATGTCAAAGTGGCTTATGAATCTTTGAACAGGGACCTTAATTTTAGGCATAGTTTCTCTAATTTCAACTTCCAAACACTGCGTTTTACAAAATATTTCATTCCCGTGATGAAGAATTACTTCAGCAGTTTTCTGCTCTGCTTATGAGCATTTTTTACTGGGTTTATGGTCTAGTGGTTAGGGTGCAGGACTCTCACTGCTGCGACCCGGGTTCGATTCCCAGCCCCCCGGGCAGATGGAGCTCGTCAGCCTTGTAAGGCAATCCATCTAAGAGAAGGTCACTCTAAACAAACCTACGTCCTGAGACCCTCACTGCCACTGTCCAAGCTTGCTCGGCCCTGGCAGATGAACCTCAGGATTAAAGGGTGGGCTCAGTTCAGCGCACGCTGTGTCTCACCTAAAAAATCCACTGCGCAGGCTCGAAGGGTAAAGACCTTTCCCAAATCTTCGCTCGCGAAGACTGGCCATTATTATAAATGGGCAAAGGCATCTGCGTTTCAGTTACATTCCCACAAAAGCATCCAAGAGTGCTCCCTGCAGGCCACATCTATTTCTGTGGAAGAGCTCAGCACCTCTATGTGGTTGGGTCAGGTGTCTTGCCACCTCTACATCTTGGTGTGATTGGCTCTCAGTGGTGTTGATGTACATCCATGGCTTTGCCTTTACACAGATGGCTGAAGAGTAGCAGCTGTTGCTCAAAACCATGGCTTAGTTGTTAAAAGTACATGGCTGGAGATCTGAATTGAGTTCAGTTCAATGTTCCAGGCTGTGGGCTACTCTCAGGAAGAGAAATCGGCTCCTCATGCCTTTCTCTAGAGATTATGTCAATATGAGAAAAAAAAACCCGAACAGTTGATGATCTCAGAGCAAGGAAAGAGAATGTCAGTCTAGCCCCCTGTTTAGGGAAATGTTTTAATCCTGTGTGGACAAACTTGTGTCAAACATGACTAATACCAAACGTGACCTTAGTGGATACTCTTTTCCATAGGACACTGGTTATGGGTTTGGCTGCCAACATCTCTGGCTGTATTTAAGAATGAAGCTTCTGGATTTACTGCCACTACACTTCCACAGCCGTGAATCTCCAGAAAAAAACCTTTATTGTTGAAGTTCCTTAATACAGGCAGTTTTCTTCTCAGTTTGCTCATGGTTTTGCCCACAGTTCTTATCTATCTTACTTTTCTCATGGACCAGATAGAGTGGCTTCTGCTGCAACAACTGCCTTGGCAAGGGCCTGTGGGCACCACTGCAGGGGTGTAGCGATGTAGCTTGGGGTGTGAATGTACTCCATAAACTCCAGGGACCTATAAAAGCTTGATGGAGTAAACTTTAAACTTAATGAAGTAAACTTTTTGCTGAAGACTAACACCCAAAAACCGAATAACGGATACAGTGATATTTGCTGAACAGATTATCTGCTGCCTTAGATTTGAATGGAAGCTTAAAAACCTAAGTTTGATTTCTGATAACATTGCTCAGGCATGTAGGATTTGCCTCCTCTGTGTCTTCAGAAATTAATTTAGTATGCTCCTAGACATATGTAAGGCTTTCAGAGATCACCTAGCTTTTTCTTTTTATGAAAGATAGCTTTTAGATAGCTAAAGGAGAGCAGGGATCCTGCTCTGGTGAGAAAGCAGGTGGTAACTGACCTTGACTTAGCTGTGTTGAAGAACTCTGTGTTCATTGCTTTATTAGTAGACAAGAGATCCAGCCTTGTTCCACACGATTTTATTGCAAAAACAGTGCTTATTATGTCTGCAGGCAATGCCTTTTCTGTGTAGAGTTAGTGTTGCAGAGAGACATGGGGTTCTTTGAATTTCCTCATAAAAAAAATCACTGAGATCGAAGAGAATTGAATTTTTGTACTTCTGCCTCAAGAGGGAGCAGCAAACCAGTGGAATATGGTCGGTGCATTTACAAGAAATGTAAAACATTTCCCTGAATTGCATCAAATTTCCTTGATTACAAACATGTACTTGTTAGAAAAATTGTAATGTTTGCAGGTCCATTTTTAGGTTGAATCAGTCTTTAACAGTATTCTTTCTTGTTAAGGAATAATCAGGAATTATATATATGTGCATGCACATACATTAAAAAATATTGTTTTATTAATGCCTATGATGTAGCTCACATGTGATACCCATCTCTCTGCAGCATCTTTCCCTCAGTCTTTTCTTTCTATAAGTTTTTTTTACACCCTTAAAAAAAAAAAAAAAGAGAGAAAAAGGGAACGTTGTAACAGAGACTTCCATGAGTGCCTAAGAAGCATGCTTGTTGAGAGAGGATGATTAAATGTAGTTTATGAAGTGTTTAGCAAGCTGTGCTCTGCCTCATTGTGCAGAGTGAAAAGTGTATACTCACCTCAGGGACACGGATTCATCTCGGGTAGTCCAGTCTCTTTCATGGACTGTTTTCTGTACCGTATAATACTTCTATATCTTAATATTTGCAGCAAAGAACGGGGAGCCTGAGAATTGTTGGTGTAGGGCCTTCTTCCTAGTGGTGGGATATATTCCTATCACCTCATTGCAGAAGGCACACTCAGTTCCTGTTGATCTCACTGATGGTCAGAATGGAGTCAGGATGCATGATGGCTCCCCCCAATAAAGTGATGAGCCTAAAATGTTGGTGACCTGGTATGTTGTGCTACAGATGTCCACATCAGCATCTTTACCAGCCTAGCCATGATTGAGAGACAGAGTACTGAGGAATCAGGAGATTATTAATTATCCTGACTGTGGATCATTAGTGGCTCAGGTACTGTATTGTGCCTTATTGATTATATAAAACTTCACCATGCTTTGAAGACAGGCATACTGTTGTTTGTGATAGGTATGCCTAACTTTGTGAAAGTTAGGCATACTTACTGTTGTTGCAGATTTTTCTGCCCTAAATGTTTGTGTTTCAGACCTGTCTTATATTCCAAATACTGCTAGAATATAGGAATGGCTTTTTTGTTTCTTGTCTAGTGTATAAAATGATTCCCTGAGTCTGGAATTAAGTAAAGTGCTCTTGACCTTGATAGTCCTACAAAAAAATCCACATTATGCTGGTATTTTCCTTTTTTTCTTGTCTTTGTTCCCACCTCATCTTCATCAATCATTCTGAGAAAATCTGGAGTTAGACACTGAAATCTTGTTCTGTCTGCAAGTCTAGTACCTGGATGGGAAAATCTTTGCTGTGTTTCTGTTTTTGCAAGTCCTCTTGTTAAAAGTGACTGCTCAATGAAGGGAGTGTAAAGATGGGTAAAGCTCATTTATTTATTTTAATTCTCTCTGGTGTCCTTCAGAGAACAGAAGATCATACCAGAGAGACCAGTTTAATAAATGAACATATGGTAACCCCTGTGAATTAAGAAATTTGATGGGAGGCTGGGTAGTAAGACTATTACTGGCCCTGTTCATTTAGCTATGAGTTTAGACTGAAGACCTTACCAGATGAGACCCACCAAGCAATGGCATCTTTATTTAGGAGTAAACAGAACAATGAGCAAAGCGGGGAGTGAGAGGCCAGGAGATGAACTCAGATTAATCTGATCATGTTTTTAAGATGCTTGGATATTAGGGGAGTTAGCAGGTAAAGGACTGTGGGTTGATGTGTTTTGCAGGCTGATCATTTCTAAGTGAACATAATTGCATACACCTCAGCTTTGACTATCATGTTAATAATGACAGCTTTTAAGCAGCCCCCTTTAAACTCACATCTGTTCTCTGTCCTTGGTAAGAGGTAAAGCCAGAAGTTACCCACAGCATATACCGAGCCAGAGTGACACTTCTGGACTTCAATCTTCCTAAAGCTCATAGTGCTTAAATACTGAACTGTAGTTTGCCTACTCCAAGTTAATAATAAATAAATAGATAAATAAATAAACGTCTGGCCTGTCAAAAGGTGGCAGCATCACTGTAACAGTGGCATAATTCACCTGCAGACCTGTACAATATGAAAAATGCTGCCTGAGAGCATTTTATTTTCTTATGTTCAGTGTAAAGAATACCATTGCCTTTTTTTAAGTGGTTTGGGTTTTTTTTCCCCCTAGCCTTTAGGTTGTTTGCAAGGGGAGGGGAACCCTCTTTTTACTAGACCTGTAAAATTAATTGAGTGACAGTATCCATGTGTGAAGCCAAAAAACTTAACACTTTTTGGCTTCACAAGCTTTTGCCTGTCAAGCCAAAAAGCTTGTATTTCTTATCTGTCAGAAAAGTTTTTAGGAGGGGAGAAAAAAATGAGGATAAACTTTTTGTCCAGTTACCTTAGGAGTAAGGTGGCTAGAACAGATAGGAAGTCACTTTACTAAAGGAATTTCAATATGATTAAAAAAAAAAAGAAACAAAACAAAAACTGCGAGACCAACAGGTAAACCTTCAAATTCAAAAGCACAGAAGAATATAAAGCAGGTTTGCACCTCAAGCAGCTTGTGCTCCTGAAATAATCTTCTATGTTCATTTCCCTTTTCATATTTCTTTCCCAATGTCTCCTATTTTAAACTTCAGACCAAACCTGTTGGCTGCTTTTTTAATGCTCCATGGCTGTGTCTGTAGCTGTGGACTTTTTCTGTCAGTAGTCACTGAACTGAAGGATGAAGCATCCAGGTGAGAGGGGTGCAAGGAGGCGATGACTGAAGCTGCATCCTTTTCCTCTGCCTGGGGAGGCGTGTGGCACGTGCAGAATTATCTAGCACAGCAAAGGAGGCAATATCTGTCCACTTGCATACATGGGTTTATACTAAAGAACAAACCAGGATAAGGAGAGTTGCCAGCAGGAAATCATTGTATTTGCACAGGAAAATGCAAAAATAAAGAAACTTTGGAGTAGTCCAATTTTTAAAAGAAATTAAAAAGCCTTTTTGTAATTACCATTCACTGCAAAGCCAGGAGATGTGTGTCAGTATCTCTAAAAATAGGTGAGCACCTTTGTTTTTCTCAAACCATCGTTCCTCAATCTGCTGTTATTTTTAGAGGGCGTCCCTCTGCCAAACTGGCAGCTTTCTGAAGCTTGGTGTGTGGCAGCTTTCCCTCACACCGTCAGGGTTGACTAAGCCCTTCTGAGGAAAACTTGGCAACTCCCACGTAATCAAATTTGCAACCACCCGCAATTTACAAATAAACATCATTGCAGAGGATTTGCATTTGTCTCTTCTGAATATTGGGTTGGGTTGAAGAGCGTACTTTGCCAGATCTGTCACTGTGGAGCCTGTGCCCACGTGCTCATTTAAATTTTTGTCACCTTTGGGTTTGTCAAATACTCCTAGTCGTTGTTTGAAATAGTCTTAGTTATCCTAGATTTAGCACTTAGAGACTAGACACGGCATATGTACATTCTCGGCTGCCCTTTGGTGGACGTGACCCGTCAGTGTAGGAGCAACATTTGTCTGCATGGTGATGAAGCATCTTGTTTTACTTGGTCTTCTAAGAGAAATATGTAGTAAACACTAGTGTTTAATATCAATGCATTAGTCATACTTAGATATGCAAGTGACACAAATTGTGCCCTGCAAACAGGAGTGCATAACCCCAAGACAGTCATTTCAATATTATATTAAATTGACTAATCCAAGTAATATTTTAGAATACTTAAATGACACTAGCTATAAAGTGCAAAGCCTCTTAATGCTATTTGGAAGGGACAATCCAACTTTTGTTTGTAATAAATTAAAAGTATAATCTTAACATCTTCCTAAAATAAAGATACGGATCACCGCAGAATGTTAACTGCTTTTAGGATTTCAAGTACGAGCAGATAAGTTGTAAAATTAACATTCCTGATCACTTGCCAATTTCAGATTCTTGTGCTATTTATAAGTCAGCCAGCCTCTGCTTTTTTACTTAAGTGGCAGGTTCCTCTCTGACAAGAACATGGAAGGTTTTTTCCTATCACTATTAAACTGAAGGATGAAGAAACCTCTCACTTCTGTTTTTGTCTACAGAAACAAAAAAATGAAAAGGGGGAAAATAAAACCAAAACAGAAAAGTAAATGCTTGATCTAGATAAGTGTGTCGATTTTCTGGGCAAGTCAATAAAGGTTCAGAGTATAATTTAAATTAATCTGTTATTTTTTCCTGATAGTAGGTTGATTTTTTACTTACAGTAAAATAGAGGAAGTTCAGCATGTTTATATTTAAACCTGCACAACGGAGTCAAGTCTCAAGGGAGTTTAGAAGTGTTAATAACACAGCCTGAACTTTAAGTTTCAGCTGCTAACATCTTGGTTTAAAGATCAGTTAAAATCCACTGCAGGATTCTAGACCTTGATCACTTTGTCTGCCGGAATAATTTTCCTGCAGCAGCCTGGGAAAACAGAACTGGCTGTGGAGCAGGGACCCCCACTACAGGACAGGTCCTTGGGGGGTCCAAGATGGAGGGGAAAAAAAAAAAGCAGTCAATGTTCAGTTTTGGTGGTTTTCCTTCTGACTGTGCGGTCTGTCCTGATGAGGAATTGGTAGCCTGTAGGCTGACATTCCTGAGAGGGACCGTACTAGGTTTCATGAGTAGGAACAGGAGAGGGGAGAGTATTGCATGCTCCAGTCCAAAATGCAAAGTCTGCTGTCTGTCTGGAATCATAAAGCATTAAAGGTGTGCACCAGGCTTGGTCAACAGAGCATGAATGGTGAAATTCTCACTCCAGTGATTGTAAACATGAAGCTGGGACCAGCACTGCCTTGACGGGCTTTCTCTGCCTGCAGATACACTGCTGCCCCCAGCCTTACCTTCCGCACTGCCTGCAACTCCAATCAGTGCACACAGCAGCTCTTTTTTTGGTTGCAATAGCAACAACAAACTGTTTTTTGTGAGTTTCTCTGCCTGTTTGGGGGTTGGTTTTGTTTGGGTTGTTCCCCTCCACCCTCCCACTCTTCAGTGCAACCTTTATGCTTCCTAATTCTAATTCCTAAAATTGGTTTTCCTCTTCCTCCAAAATTTGGGATTTGAAGTCTTTTAAAGCACAGTTTACAGCTTGCTTTTTGCCACAGCTGGGCATCTCAAGTGCCAGGTACCCTGTAAACCAGAATTTAGGATCTCTTTCTCAGCACAGCATGTAAAATTATGAGTATTTATCTTTGGTTCTGAAATCCTCTTATTTTCATGATTTGGGTGAGGAGGGTTTTTCAATCACAAGAAAGCCACAAACCACTTCTGTGAGTTAAAGGAGGCGTAGAAGGAGGATCAGAGGCATTAAGTGCCAAGGAAAATTTCCCACCAGTATTAACAGAGCAGAGATGAGTTTTAGGTGATTATTTCACGTGAATAAAAGGTTTGGGGTTTTGCCTCTTTTCCCATGCGTTGATTGCTTTACTTCTCATTCTTTGTTTTTCAGGTGGCTTCCTTAGCAGGCCCAGGAGGGAAAGTTGAAATAGAACAAAATTTTCTCAATAACAAACTGAAGACGATAACAGCTTATTTTGGTGATCTAATAAGACATGACATCTCCTGAACTCAGTGTGGATTCTTCCAAGCCCAACCGCCCTGACTGCTGCTTTGCTTAAGCTTTTGTACAGCTGGCTGGTCAGAAATAACTTAAAGCCATTTTCCACTTTAATTTCTGTTTACAGAAGTTTCTTCTGTTTATTACTACTGTCAATAAATGTTTTATAATAATTTTGACAAATTTGTCAATGTAGAGAAGCTGTGAATTTTTGAAAAAAGATCTTTATAAAATGCAGTTTTGCAAGGTTTGAGCCCTACCCATGGAAGGGGCACTCATGATTTCTTTGCAACTCTCACAGGTGCTACTTCTGTGCTTGCTCTGGTTTTAAGCATCCAGAGGGTCAAGAAGAAAAGCCTGAAAGCTGCCAGGTGTTTCAGGAGCTGTTGTCTGTGCTTGAGAAGCATAAGTGCCTGAACATCAGGTGGAACTAGATGGTCAGGTACACCATGAGAGGTTAACCCCAGTCCACCTCTCTGGCTCCATGCTCATTGGGAAACCTTTTCAGGTTTTCTTTGTAGGATGAAGGTTCACACGTTACTTCCAGTGAGCGCTCTGGATTGTTGCAGCACAAGGAGAGAGCTTGTTTGTGTCTGGAGGCAAAGCTCTACTCTCTGGGTTTTGCCATTTTATTAAATTTTATTTTTTTCCTCCTTGACAGTCCTTCTTCATTGCAAAGATATTTTGAAGAAACCTGACTGGAAGTTTGTACCAGTAAACAGAGGGGTATGTGTCCCCCTGTTTTTGAGGCATTTTGGATCCTCACACAGGCTTCAGGGAGGCAGAGGGACCCCAGCTCTTCCTGGTGAGGCCTCCCTGCTCCCACGTGGTTTGGAGGGGAAGAGTGGCTTTTGGCCACTTCTCCAAGCAGAAAAGGAGGCAGGCAAGAAGTGCCTAGGGCATGGATATGGCATTCTCACTGAAATGCTTGTACAGTAAGTCCCCAGTCTCAATGTTGAGCTTGTTTCTGACATAAGAGTGTAGGAATAATAATTTTTAAGACAGGTTAGTGCTGCTTCTTCTCTGCTTGGAGTGCAGTAGGATGCTGAAGGCAGCAGAGACTAAGCACTAAACCATGCATTAGTGCTATCAAAGAAAAGCATAGCATAACTGTAGAATAACCAAATAAAGAGGATCTATTTTCCTCCTTAAGGAATGAAACCCAACTCTTCAAATCATTCAAGAGAACAAAGTGTTTGCGTGCATATGGGATGTTAAAAAGCATGCAGCCTGACGTGGTGCAAGTTCACAGTGCAGTAAAATAGCACTTGGGAAATAATTTTTTTCAAACTCTGCCATCAGTCTGGTACCTGACAAGTGCTAAACTGTTAATGACTGTTACATCCATGCTTTATGTAATGTATTTCAGTTTACTTTGAAGATAATTTGGCTAATTTGCATCACTGCATTTTGCCACAGTGCTACAGTGAGGAGGAAGTGTTGTGATAGTGCTGGACTCTGTATCAATATTTAAAGGGAATTATTAAGGAAATAGTATTTCTTAGTTTGCTATTAGATGGTAAGGGAAGTTGGCGAGAGTGCTAGTATTACAGGAGCTCCAAATCTACTGTGGCAGTGGCATATGAATGTAATGATGCTGTTAAATTTTCACTACAAGCCACAAACAAAAATGCAAGAAAGTCATGAGGCCAAATGAAGATTAGATTAATTTATACTGTCTATGTCACAGTACTCTGTACACTGAAATTTTACTGTATTTGGCTTATTGCTGCTTATAGAAATACCCTTGTCTTATTGTTTGGTCCTCTTTCCCTCCCTAAAGTTAAGGGGATGCTTTAGAGGCATTTTGAGATCTTGCTGACGCTATAAAAGGAAGCTTTGAGGGGGAAAGGCCCCTGAATTTACATTTACTTTCCAAAAAGTAGTTCAGTGCCCAGTATACAAAATGTGGAAGCTGAAATATAAAAGGCACATCATTTACTGTTTTAATATTTACTTCCAGGATCGAGAACTTCATGGTAAAAAGGAACAATTTCTCAAAGGTCTCTGCTGAGCTTTGCAAGCACATGAAGTATCAAAAGCAGAAGAGTATCTTTGTTCGTAGCTGTTCCTGTCTCTAACCAAGAAGTAAAAATGGTCTTTTTTTTTTTAAATACAACTTGAAGTTGGAATACACTCTGCTGGGTTGTGATAAGTGTTTGCCCTCATCTTTCCACTTGCACGGAACTGGTGAAGTTCCCCAGGGCTTTGAATCTATCAATCTGTTAAGCCTAAAATACATATATGACTTTTTACTTTTTTGTTAGTAAATTCAACCAACAAGCACTTCATGGAGGACAGCCTAAATTATGATATGAGTTTTTATAAGATTTTATTTTGCTTTTTATTTCAGAAAAAATTAACATGGGCTGAGACGCTGTTAAATTTCTGGACAGCTCATAGCCAATGCTTGAATACCCTTTTGGGATTTAAGCAGTATTTCGTAAATGATGCATTGGGCAGCAAAGAAATTATATTGCTACTGTAAATATTCATAGAGGTTTGGTCTTTTACCCATTTTAAGCTACAGAATAAGCTATAGAAAAATGCAGACTTTTGGTTTGGAAGTTAACTAATATTTGGACTAAATGCAATAAATACATACAGTGTTACACTTTCCAGTGTGCTCTTGAACACATCTCTTTTGGTTTATCTTAATTAAATCCAGAATTAAACCAAACCAATCAGTTTCTTTTTCTGGTGCATGGTATGAGGAGATGCAACGGAACAAGGAGTAAGTACATTACAAGGCTGAAGCTTAATTTTAGGTTCAGGGGGACCAGAACAGAGCATCATCAGGGCTGAGCAACTGTCTATTCATGGTAGGACAGTTAGCATTGTGCCCTTCTCTGAAGGAGGCCCCATTAATGTTAAGGTAAAAAATTAACTGTTCCATGAAGTTTTCATTTACACATTTTAGAAAATCTTCCCCAAGTGTAACGTTTCTGAAATAACATCTGGGTCTATATGTGCAGCTCAGGGGTTATATAAACAAATTAATGTTACGCTACAGTGACCATGGTAATATTTAGCAGAGGGAAACCCCTTAAATAGCAGAAGGGAAAAACTACTTGCAGTAACTTATTGAACGAATCACAGTAGAAAATTGAGTCATTTTCACTTGGTTTACTCTCATCTTTCATATGCCTCATGGTCACTGTTTGTTTTAGCTGTCCTCCCCTCATACATGGTGTAACTCTTGGGGATGGTCCTGTGCGGGACTAAGAGTTGGACTCGATGATCCTTGTAGGTCCCTTCCAACTCAGCATATTCCGTGATAAATCTTCCCACCTCCAAATACGAAGGAAGGAGGGTAATCCTATCATGTAGTATGGACTGGTTTACCATTGCTAGTATAGCCTTTCCAACGGAGGTATCTTAGTATTTCTGTCACTGGAATATCTTTGTGTGGTCTAGAGTACTTACAAAAAGTTGATTTTCAGCGTGAGGAAGTTTTAGATTTCTTTATGAAGACAGAAGAAAGATCTTTGCAAGTGTATGTTGCAGCGGCAAGAGACTAAGTGCTCTAAAACCAGGCTAGAAATCAATTCAGACCCTGTTCTGTTTCAGTTGTCAGATGATGAAGCTGTCAAGCAGTCCAGCCTGCTGGATCAGGGCAGAGTATTATCGATATCCACACTCCAGTAAAATACTTTTAAGAGTGATACTGTGTTGATTCAGTTAAGTGAAGTCCCCCAAACACCCAAATTTATTCATACCAAAAAAAAAAATAAAAAAGCAATTCATTTCTTGGAGGCTGCAGAAGTTATTGCTAGCTGAGAGGAAGCAATAGGAATGGCTAAAGCCAGCTGAAGTGACTGAATGTAGTGAGGCTGGATATTCACCCGAGCAGTGAAAATCCTAGCTGCAACCATACAGAGAGGTTGCTGAAGTAAAGGCTGAGTCTGCAAACAGGCTTGTCCACCCCAGAGTTTGGTTTCCGCCTCTACTTAGCATGGTCCTGTGGTGTCTCTTACCAATGCCTGAGGCTTTGGCAGTGCCTGTTGATACTGTGAGCAGGGCTGTTGCCCAGGGTGGAGGTGGGGCAAGCAGCAGCCCATCAGGGAGCTCTGACAGCACTGGGCTCTGCTCAAGAGTTTCCTCAACCAGGGGAATTCCCAGTCAAGCTGCACACACAGCTCTGTGAAACACTCCCTGCAAAGTAAGGGTCAGCCCCGGATTTCTCCATATAAAGACCCAAGGATCGGTGTCTTTTTAGCACGTGGTCACACCAGGTGCATCTCTGGGTGTCAGGGAGTGTGGTTTTGCCATCAACCCCTTGTGGACCCTTCTTCAAGGCTCATGCAAATGTATTTTGTGAGCTCCTCCTTTCCGCATTTTGAGGTTTTGGCCTGCCACCTTGCAAAGTTCCAAAACCATAGCAAATTTCAAGGTGCTTCCCAGCAGCACAGGCTTCACTGAAAACCTAAAATGTCCCTCTGGGTTTCTGGGTTCTGGGTTCTCAGACCGCTGAGGAAAAAAAAGTGCTGTTGGTGGCAGTCTGGGTATGATGACAGCGCGATCCTTCCTGTCTCTCTCTGTGCCTCAACTCATTATCTTACTTTTTCTCAAGACTGCTCTGCAACCTTCTTGTGAAACCCCTGTGGTTTATTAGAGGAGTGTAATGGCAGCACCAGAGCTTTTAGCACTGCATAAACATGGCTCACAGTGTGCCTTTGGTGTTTTGGAAGCAATGAAGTGCCTTTCCCTAATGTTCTATCCTAAAAATAGGATGTCCAAAGAATGGACATCAGAGAGGATATTCCTCTGCACAGTTATCACAGGTTGATGCAGGTTGCATAAACACATTTATCATATTAGTGCACTACTACCTAGACCTCTGGGGGTTCTTTCACATTGTCACAGTGTCAGACACAGTGATGGTAACACTGGCAAGAGCTTTTGTGAAAGGCGGTATTATGATCTGACAGCAAAACCTGTCCTAAGTATTCATTAAATTGTTCCAGGCACTGGGACAGCCTATGATTATGTCAAACAAGGGAGCAAATTGTACACTCTGCTTTCTGGTATGTGCGAAACTTAATCTGAAAATCTGCCTAGAAAGGTTAAACACAGCCAGCTTTGTTTAGGAGAACTCCAGACTGGCAGAGCCCATCACCTCAGAGGGTCACTTGTGGGGGGCTACCTGTGCCAAATGGTTGTGCTGGTGCAAGAATGATTTCTGTGGGTGCAGGTTGCAGCTGAACTTATCCAAGGGGTTCTCTCAGGGGTCTGAACATTTGGGTGTTCCCAGCAGATGCAATGCTATTTGTAGCTCAGGCTCTGACCTGTACGTCTGGAAAGCTCCAAAGCAGAAGCTGGAGTTCCCCAGTAAGCAGCTGTGTGGGGAACTCTGGGCTGTGGCTCCTGCTACAGGAGAAACCATGTTCTAGGAAGTGCTTTTAGTGATGGATGGGCTTTGACACGAAAAAGCCCAGTTCTCTCAGGAAAAATGAGCGTTGTGGGGGTTCTTCACCTTATATAGAAATTACCCACCGGGGTATTCATTAACTCTGCCAAGAGAAGGTGCTGTTAGGAGTCAAGTTTGAGAACAACTCTTCCGGTCATGTAATGTAGAGTGGGACACCAACAAGCAGGGGGTCCTGATTGCCCAAGGCTGAGCTGAGTACTGGGAGCAGGACAGAGCATGGGGCCAGCAGAGCCGTGTTCAGTCTGCAGAGCTGAATGCCGTGGTGCCTGGGTTGTGGTTTCTGCAAGACACACTGCTTGTGTTCACTTTTGCTTCTTGCTGCCAAGTTTTATGACTTCACTGTCAGTCTTTTGATTTTTTTTCTGCAGCTTGTAAAGAGCATTCTCTGAAAAAAAAACCTCCAACTTTTATCTAAAAATAAATCTGTAGTCCTTGCAGCTAAAAAAAAAAACAAACCCAAACAAAAATAGCTGACACAAAACCAAGACCTGAATGCATTATAATAGTTCAGAAATCAGATAAGAATGTCTGAAATGTAAGTAATTTGCAATTGCTTTGTAGGTAGGTTCACCTCATATTTTGCCCTGAGGCACAGAGATAGAGGCTGACATGATTTTTCAGCAGTTTGAATTGACCATGCTGCTTGTCCCTGCTGCTGCTCTGATTTATCAGCTTTGTTTAAAGATCAAAGCATTTAGTATAAATAAGTTAAAGTAGGAAAGTCTGACTTGTTGCACGTTTATTTTCTCTATTAATGTGAAGAATGGCGATCTGTCCTGTTAGCTAAAAAATAGCTATGCTGGTACAGAAGATGCAAAACACCCTGGAAGATTCATGATCTCTACTGAGCCCAGAGGAGGAACCAGCAGTGAGCAGCTGTTTGACAGCTATGAACCATGAGGGAAGTGAACCTGAGTATCTGGCCAGCTCAGAGCATGTTGACAGACATGATAAGCAACAGGGATTAGGGACATGAGAAAACTGCCAAGAGCAGAAATTCCAAGGAGCAGTGGGTCCCAGCTTGGAAGTCACCTGTTTGGGTGACAATTAAAAAGAGCCAGAATTTATAGATCACATTTTATATGTATCTGGTCCTGCAGAAAGTTCATGAGTCCTAAGAGAGAAAGAAGCAGCAGCTTGTCTTGCCCAGGCTAGTGCAGGTGCTTGAGGGTATGTCTGGGAGCCAGCCTGGATTACTGCATAATTTTTGCTGGTGCTAAAAGATGCTGCTGCCTTTCAATGCTGCAGAACCATCATCAGCAAAGAGGAACAGCAAAAATCCATGGCAATTTGCAATAACTTAGATAAAGCAGGATTAAGAAAGATCAAATTGCTGCTGGAGTCCATGTTGCGTTAAGCAAACACTGCCCCTTCCTTTCCTCTCTTCATCTGCAATATGAGTTTTGTATTGCTTTTGGGCCATGCAGGGATCTTTACTTTTCATTTACTCAAGAAAAACAATCAGGCAACCTTGGTGACAGGTGTCAAGTCGTGTTTTTGAGACCACACGCTGAGCAGCAATGCTAGGATCCCCACCAGCACTATCAATTTCCACAGCTTATTGCAGAGGAAGTAAACACACAAGTTGCTCCATGCTGGCCACAGCAGGACTCTCAATCCCTGTAGCACACCACACAAACTGCATTTTCAAGAAAAATACCACAGATGTTTCAACTGGTAGGCCTGGGAGCCATGCTGGGAGTAAAGAATAACTGGCCAATGTGACCCAAACAGGCAGCAGGGTGATACCAGGTACCTTCTTCACAGCATCTGAAACTCTTCAAGCTCCCCATGGGTCTCTGAAGAAAACCAGGGGAAGGAGGCAGTGCAACCAGTGGTCAACCCCCATCTAGGCAGGGTGGCACCTGCACTGTCCTTTCCTGGTTAGATCTTCATTAAAAACAGGTCAAAATGAGTCAGTGTCCTAAGGCAGTGACATCTGCTGGGGTGTAATAACTGTTAGCTTTCTGACCTTAAGAAAAAATAGCAATGCTGCAGTTTGCTGCTTGCACTATAAAATGTATTTTCTAAGACCATTGGGGGTTAATTATTGGGTTAATACAAAGAGCTGTGAGTACACAATATGAGTAAGAGTATACAGTAGAAGTTCTGAAGTCATGACTTCTAGCTGATGCCAGGTGAATGTTTACTTGGTACCACAGGCAGCATGAACCCCAAATCCCTTTCTTGTAGCTGAAGAGAGATTCCCAGTCTTCTTTTTGTCATTCCTACTAGGGCAA